CCATCTGTTTCTGTGTCCTCCTTGGCTACTTCTCCACTGCAACAGCAGAGGTGAGTAGTTTTGACAGAGACTAGTGTCTTGAAAAGCCAAAAATATTTACATATCTGGCCCTTAATGGAAAGACTGTAGACTGGTTTAAAGGAAAGCGGTAGAAAGAAGTGCCCTGTTGGGGCTGTTAGCTAGGAATCAAGAGTCCAAACCTAACTGTAACCAGTCATGTGTCAGTCAAGTGACAGGGTCGCATTCCCTCCCTGTGCCTCCCTTTCTCCATCTATAAAATAGACACCTATTTCTTCTCTGTTTGTCCCAGTATTGTTGGATGTCTCAGTTTAGACAGTCTGATTGTCAGAATAATGCGGGAAATAACTGGGACAGCTTTTCCTTTGCCCAGGTGAGACGAAGGGGACATTTGGGGGAAATGACCAAATCACACTAAGCAGAGGAACAGGGAGAAAGGAACAGCTTTCCATTAGCCCAGGAAGGAGGCCTGGGGAAGACTGACAGCTCTGGGCTGACTCCGCTTTTACCTGCCTTTCCCCCAACAGCCTGGAGCCAGGACACACATATGCAGTCTCCCCCGCTCACTCAGTCACAGCCAAAGTCCCTTCAGTGGCCCAAAGCCCCCACAGGATCTGCCCCAAGCCCCTGACCTGTCTCTTCCAACCTCTCTCTTCCCTTCCCCTCGCTCCCACCCACCTTCAACTTCCTGCCTCAGGCCTGGAACCTGCTGTTCTGCCAGGAACCTCCTTCCCCTCCATGCCATGTCCCATGATGTCCTGTGTCCTGTCCTCACCTTTTTGAGGTCTCTTCTCAAAAGCCATCAGCTGGGTGATGCGTACCCCGACCCCCACTCCCACCTTCCCAACTTTTCTCCTCCCTAACACGCCATCACTAACGGGCAGGCCCACATTTCACTCTTCATTCGCTTGCTGTCCACATGCCCTTTGCCATTAGAACGTGAGCTTGTGAGCACGAGGATTTCACGGCATGAAAGGAAAACTCAATGAGTCTTCAGTGACAGAGTAAATGAATGAATTGAATTCATTTATTAAAATACTAAAACCTATTATTTTAATCACAAATTAGCCAGCCACAAAGAAAATGATCTCACTTATAATAACGTGGAATCTAAAAAAAAAACAAAAAAGTTGAATACATAGAAATAGAGAAGAAAATGGAGGTTGCCAAGGGCAAAGACTGGGGGAAACCGGGGAGATGTAGGTCAAAGTGTACAAAGTTGCAGACACCTAGGGGTGCGCAAGTCTAAAGATCTAACACTAAGAGGTTGGATTTGGGATTTCTGCTGGACTCTAGTGGTCCAGGATCAAAACAGAAAGGGGTCGGTCTCCCTCCCCGGCAAAGCTCCTCCTTATAAAGCAAAATAAGTAGACAAAGACACCACATCCGTTAAAAACAATCGTTTTTATATCATACACACACGCTGGGTTCAGAACGATAGTGTCAGAGGTGTGGACAGGGACCGCTGCTGCCGTCAGCACAGGGGCTGCCCCTCCTCTTGGGCACCCCGGTGCCCTCTGTCCCTGCCTCCCTCTGAGGCTTCACCCCCAGCCTTGCCTGGGGCTTTGACAACCTTTGGCACCTGCCTGTGCGAACTCAGGTCCTCGCTGTCCTGAGATCAAGGCTAGGCACAGGGTTGTGTTTACTAACGGTTTCGTTGACGCACGGAGGCGGCAGAAGATGACGTTCCTCTTGCCACAGCAGATGGCATGGGCCAGGGCCACCCTGTACCTTTCCTAGCCTGGCCAGGCGGTGGGGGCCGAGACGGTTCCTCCCCGCCCCCCTTCCCAGGGCGTCACACTGGTCCCAGAGCTACAGCTAGTGACCCTCACTGCCTCAGTAGGGGTAGGGGGACACCGCGATGAGCAGGACGAAGACACTCTGGTGGCGCGGCGCGGCGGCGCGCACGGTGAGCCGGTAGAGGCCGGCGCGGGTGAGGGCGCGGCGGGTGTAGACCGCGCCATGACCAGCGCGCAGCGGGCGCAGCGCGAACGGGCTGCGCGGGTCGGGCTCCAGCACGCTGAGCTCAGTGCGGTTGGCTGGGACACCTGCGTCGGAGAAGGCGACCAAGCGCGCCACGTCGTGGTGGGCGCGCACGCCCAGGGGCAGAGGCAGCAGCCGGTACTGCAGCGTGGAGGGGCCGTCGGCGCCGCAGTCCTGAGAGCAGCGTCGGAAGCACGTCCTACCGAGCAGCACAGATAGAGAAAGTTGGGCGGACCCGGGGCTGTCCTCAGAGTGCAGCAAGGCCCTGCTATAGAAACCGGCCCCGTCCCCACCCTCTGCAGCGCTGCACACACCCTGTTTGTCACCCCCAATATCAGGCCCGCGCCGCGGATGCCTTCTCTGCAAGCACCACTGTCAGCCCATGGTAGAGATCAACAAATGAGGCCCGAAGAAGCCGGAGACATGCTCTTTCCCATGGAAGCAGGTTTCCCAGTGGACTTTCTCAGTCTATGCCCCAAGGTTGCCCCACAGGCGAAGGGCATCCGGCAACTTAGAGCCCTCCAGGTCTACCCGCAGGTGCACGGAGCTGAGTCACCGCCTGGGATTTATTGTGCGGGGCTGGGACGGAGAAGGCTTGAAGAAACGCTGAGCCTTACCCAGGGCACCCACTGCCACACCTAGCCTAGCTTTCCTGTTGGGTAAGGTCCAGGGCAGTTCCCTGCCCCAGGACACTTCTCTAACCACAGCAGCTCTGCCCCTGGGCCCTCCTGTCCCTGATCCTTTTTGTGAGAGTTTGTAGCCCTGTCAGTGGCCTGGAGGAAGTGCACTGCGGGTGTCTGTGTCTTGGGGTGTTGTGTACATCTCTGGGCAGCATTCATGGGCCTGGGTTTTGTGTGTGTGTTCACGTGTGTCCTGCTCTAACCCCTCCTCTGGCCTTTCCCCTGTCCCTAGCACTCCATGCACACCTCCGTCCCTTGCCAGGGAGCGACAGTATCAAGGGGAGCTTGCACCCTGAGTGGCTGCAGAATATGCTCTTGGAGGGCACAGGAGCCAGACGGGAAGTGGCAGCTCCTGGCAGGTAATGTCCTCCCACCCCCACCTATCCCCCACCCAGCTGAGCCCCTTACCCAGGGCTGGGGCCCTGCCGGTAAGTGGCAGGACAGGATGTGTCCACACACTGGTAGCTGCCTCGGGTGTTGAAGCACATCTGGCCAGGCCCACACTCAACGCCGTCCTCCTCACACTCATTGATATCTGGGGAGGAGGGGACGAAAAGTTGAGCAAAGATCCGCCCAAAACACCGACCAGGGGAGGCAAGAGAACAGGGCGTGAGCGGGGAGAAATGCCTTTGCTGACCAGCCAGGTGAGCAGCCCTTCTTCCTTTGTCCCCTGCCAGTCTGACCTGTGACAGCCTAGCAGGGGTCCCTAGCACCTCCCCACCTGTCGGGGTGTCTTTCCAGGGCATGGTGGTAGGAGCTGTGGGGAGTTCCTGAGCCTGGTGTCTGGCTGCAGGGCTTCAGAGACCTGGGGCTTGTCTTGGCCGGCCACTTGCCCTTTGATCTAGAATGCCCACTCTCTGTGGGCACAGCATCTTGGTCTCCTTCTGTGGAGTCCTGCCCTTCTCAGAGGACAGTCCCTGAGCCCCATGACAATGAGGATGGAAATGGGCAAGGCTGGCAGATCCTGTTGCCAGGCAGGGGAAGCAGCATCCCCTGCCCTGGTGTGTGTCAGAGGTGCCCAACTCAGGAGTGGGGGGACATCACTGCTGCTACCAGCAGCAACTGTGCTGGCTCTGTGCCTGTCCTCTGCAGGTCCCATCCCAGCTATTTGAGGGGGACTATGTTAGCCGTATTTCACCAGGAGGCTGAGGCTCAGAGAGGTGAGGCAGGGCCTGCTCATGTAATTGCTTGAGGCTCCTGTTTGAAGCGTGGGGCCTGGGGGTGATCATGTAACCCCTCTGCTCCCCTCTCTGCCCAACATCACAGGATGGCTGTGAAGGGGCTGGAGTGAACAGAGTGGGTGAGATCCTCGCATGCCCTGTCCCCTGCTGCCCACCCCAGCCCCTCCGGCATGTGGGAGGTGGTTTGCCTGGGCCCCGGCTCACCCTGGCAGTTCTTCCCACTGGGGAGGAGGCGGTAGCCGGCGGGGCAGAGGCACTGGTAGCTGCCTTTGGTGTTGCGGCAGGCGTGCTGGCACAGGCCCTGCACCCGGCACTCGTCGAGGTCTGGCCCAGGCATGAGTGTTGGGGTCAGGGTGGGGAAGGCAGAGAGACACGCTGAGTCACAGAGGCCCAAGTGGCCACATGCCTTGCCTGCCAGGCTCTGGGGCACCCTGGTCCTCCTCATAGGTGGGAATAGGGAGTGCCAGCCCTCAGCCATGTGCCTCTTCTCTGTCCTCTGCAGCCCAGTGCTAGCCTCTACTGGGTCCATTCCTTTCTCAACCCTCACCCCTGTTCCAGTCCCTCTTCACATTCTGTTTGCCCAAACATCTTCACTCTAGAATATCTCCCTCCCTGGCTGCTTTGCCTCTGAGTGCCAAGGGAAGTGTTTCTCAAAGTGGGTTCTTGGGAACACTTGTCTAGGAGGCCTTCCTCCTGGCAAAGTGTCCTGGTCAGATGGTTTAGAAAATGTTCCAGCCCCATCTTGGAGCCCCCTTTCCTATTAGCATCCAGAGGCTCTGAGATGCCCAGTATCAAGGAGGCAACTATCTGCCACCTACCACTGGCCTCTGCCCCCTGGGTGTCTAAACTCAGTGGGTGGTGCCCCCGCCCAGCCTAGGAGCCCGAGATAACGTGGAGGATGTGTCTCCGTGGATGGTTGGGACCTGGTCTTACCTATACAGACTCCGTTCTGCCTGATGAAGCCAGGGGGGCACCAGGCCCGGCCTGTGCTGCCCAGGGCTCCAGGTCTTGGACGGAGGGAAACCCAGGCATGATAGGAGCCACCAGGGATGGGGACCCGGGGCTGCGGCCAGGGCACAAAAAGGCCCTGGTAGCTGACCGTGGTCACATTTTGTTCACTCTGCTCCAGTACGGCACAGGTCTTGCCATCACGGAGGAGGGTCTGGCCTGGTGGGCACAGGCAGCGGTAGCTGCCCCGGAGGTTGTGGCATTGGTAGGCGCAGGCCTTAGGCAGCTGCAGGCACTCGTTGACATCTGCAGGGGTGGGGCCAGGGCAGAGGGTGGCTCAGGGCTCATGCAGCAGCCAGGGGCCACTCCCCTGTCTCCAGCCTCCTTACTTGCTCACACCTCCCAGAATTCAGCTGCTTACATGTTGCACATGGGCCTGTCTCCAAAGCTGTCTCTTTCCTGGGCCATTCCCAGCCTCCCCCAGCTCAGAGTGTCATCCTGGATTCTAGCTCCCGTTGGTCCCTGAGCCCTTTAGTGGGTTGATTCTACTTCCTGAGCCCCTCTGAGATCCACCCTCAACTCCTGGCATCCTAGGGAAGGTGACCCACAGGGACAGGGTGAGATTTTGGCGCCATAGTCAGGGAAAGCAGAATCCAGGTGCCTGGTGAGTAGACGGTCAGTGTCAGCTGCTGTGTGGTTATTCTCAGAACTACCAGCACCACTGCCATGAACACACACTGCCCATGAGCAGGGGGTAGTCACCAGGGGGTGGGTGTCCGCATACCTAGGCAAGGCAGGCCAGCACCTTGCATCCGGTACCCCCTGGGGCAGCCGCAGCGGTGACTGCCCAGGGTGTTCTCACAGAGCTGGTTGTAGTGACACTCATCCAGTCCCTCCTGGCATTCATCCACATCTGGGAGGCAGGGGCGTCATCAGGGAGCGTGGCCTAGTTCAGAGGCCCTCACCTCAAAGATGTGCTATCTCTCTCCACATTTGGGCCCCCTCCCTGTCCCCTCCTTTAATTTCCATGCCACTAGTCTGAACGTGTCACTGCTTTCAATTATACCAGCTAGGAGGCAAAGAGGGTTTGGGTATAAAAAGAGGCTTTGGAGGCAGTGTCCCAGGTTGCACAGAGCTCTGCCATATTCCAGGCCTGCAGTGGTCGTCGCAGTGAGGAGAGGATTGGATAGGGCCTATGAAGGGCTGGGGGGCAAGGTGTAGGGGAAGAGCTAAAAAACAGAGAGAGGGAAGGGAGGGGGCAGGCGGCCGGCTGAGCCCGATTTGGTCAGGTTGCCCTGCTGATCGAGGCTTGTGGAGGTGCAATGGTGCATCCTCCCCGTCAGGCCCTGTCGCACTTCCTTCTCCCCAGCACAGCCTCTCCAGAGCAGCCAGGCAAACCCGCAATTGTGACACCATAGTTTGCTAGAGTGGGAAGGACCCTGGAGGTCATCCACGTGGGGTGGCACCCGGGTTTCATCTCAAAGGCTGATGCCAGCTGATTCATATAGCTTCTGGGAACACTGCGTGGAGAGGGATTCAGAGGCCATCTCTAGCTGGGCCATGACCCACGAGGGGCACCGGGAAGTGCAGTGGAGGTAGCACGTGTTTGCCATCCCTGACCTGGTCCCCCTTCATCAGACAGACAAAAAACATGAGGCCCCGAAGGAAGTGACACTTGTCCAAGGTGTTCAAGCTGCCAGGAGCCAGGCTGGGCTGGGATTCAAGCTCTGTCCCTGGCCTCCCTGTCCTCCTTCTAAGAGAGCTCTGGTCTCTTAGAAGGGCCTGCATCCCAGTGACACACCCCCTCCCATCAGCTGAACCCTGGAAACCTCTGGGTTCCCTAGAGTACAGACAGGTCCCACACCATGCCCCCATCACCTTCACAGCCGGCCCTGTCAGCAGCCATCCGGAAACCAGGCCCGCAGTCAGAGATACAGCGGTAGGACCCCAGCAGGTTCACGCAGCGCTGTCCCTCTCGGCAGAGGTGGGCATCCCCTGCACACTCGTCCACATCTGCAGGGGCAGTGTGGGAAGACTGAACACAGCCTCCCAGGCCCTCCTCAGCACCCTGGCTCTGGCCCAGCCTACCCACGCTGCCCTGTTCCCAGGCTGAGAAGCCCTAGCAGTAAGGTCCTGATCTCCCTCCCCAGCTCTTTCCATCATCCTGCGCGGGCCCTACCCCAAAACTCAGAGCCCACCCAAGGGACCTGCAGCTTCTAATGCTAGGTTGCAGGCAATGTCCCCTGGGGCACCCAGCCTTGCTGGTGAGAGTGAAGAGGTGCAGATCAGGAGGCAGCACCAAGAAAGTCCCCTAGGGTCAGATCTATCACCCAGAAGCATTGCTGAGGGGGACACACACAGCATGCAGGGCAATTGTACAATGGCCCCCTTGCCAGCTCTCGCCTACTGAGACAATGCTGAGTGTTGGGAAAGTGTCCAAGGCCGAGACCAGGCTCAGCAGGTATAAGTGGCCCCAGCATGTGGTGACTGCCCATGTGTCTCTGGGGATGTCCATTGTTCCTGATACCTGAGCCTCGCCCTTCTGCAACCCACATAGCAGGAAGGGACCTGGTGGGGATACGGCATCGGGACCCCCCAGGCTGGCATCCAATGCTCCCAGACAGTGGGCCCCAGGGACTCTCCTGCATACCTGCACTGGGTCTGAGGAGTGCCTTCCCCTATAGCGTCCACTCACCTCTGCAGTTCCTGTCATCCCAGGCCAAGGTGAAGCCGGCCGGGCAAGAACAGGAGAAGCGTCCAGGTGCGTTGAGGCAGGAGTGGGAACAGGGGCTCGGGCCGCCTGAGCACTCGTCCCTGTCTGGGGTGGGAAGGGGTCTGGTGGTCCCTGCTCTGGGGCTCTCCTGCCACCTGACTGAGACAGATCACCCAGAGGCCTCCCAGGTCCATGCGGGGACTTGGGGAACACTCACCCACACAGAAGTCTCCCTGGGAGTCCAACTCAAAGCCCTCAGGGCAGCCAACTTCGTTCTCCTCTGTGGGGTCAAGGGATATGTCCTAAGGACACAGACCCTCAAAGCTGCATTGGCCATAGCTGGGCTCACAGCTCTTTACTGCTGGCCTGGCCAGATGGTGCCTCCAGTTGGGAACTGAGCCCATCCTCAGCCAGGACACAGCCAGGATGGTGCCAGCAAGTCAGTGAGCTTATTCCCCACTCAGGTCCCTTGGCTGTGGGATATGCCTGAGGGGCTCCTCCTGGGGCTGGGCAGTAAGGCTGGGCAGGCCCAGGATAAACCATTAAAGTGAAACACAGGTGGTCCATGCATACAAAACTGTGCCCACAAGGGCCTAGCACTGCATGAGGTGGGTGTGCAGAGGGGCTAGGGAGAGTGTGGATGGCAGCATGAATAAGGTGGGTAGGGTTCAGCCCCTTTCCTCCCTGCCCATGCTCAGCCTCTTGGCTATTCTGGAGCCCAGACAGTCTAGTAATTGTAGGGACAATCACCCTTGACAAAGTGGTCTCTAGGTGCCAAGCTAGGGTTTTAGAGATAGCATCTCTGCTACCAGCACCTTGCAAGGTGGGCCATGTCATGTGCAGATGGGAACACTGAGGCTCACAGACGGCCTGGGCATTGACCCCAAGGTCCCACAGCCAGAAAGTGGGGCAGCTAGGATTTGAACCAAGGTCTCCCTGACTACAAAGCTGTGCTCTTATCACTATGTCTTGTTTAATGTCAAAAACCTTTTGGATAGGTATCCTTAGTATGTCCTGGATGAGAATGTAAGGCATGTTCATGTGAGTCTCCAGGGGTTCTGACAGCGGCTCCGGGGTGGGGCCTCTGGTGCAGGCATCCTGGGGTGAAGGGGGTGGGGTGTGGCTTGACCTTCACCTTGGGGTCTGGGGAAAGACTACAGAGGTTTGAACCGGAGTGGCCTGAAGAGCTATGTCTCTGCGAGGGGTGTTGGTAGATGGACAGGAGTGGGGACAGTTTGGAGGTAAGCAGAACAGATGAGCTATCTCAGTTCCCCTGTCTCTGGCCCCTGGTCAGAGATGCAAGGGGAGGGGATGGCCTTCAGCCAGGTGCATTTTTGGTTGGGGCAGTGCATGGTAGGGCAAAAGGGTGTGGGCCTCACCAGTCTGCAGGGCTGTGTCAAGCTGGAAGCGCAGGGCCTCGGCCTCAGGGTCGAAGGCCGTGCTGATAGCTGAGGCCTGCAGGTGCTGCACCAGATGGGGCTGGGGGCCCCGGGCTGCAGCGTACTGGATGCTGTGGTTGCAGCGCAGGAACCCTGGGACGCTGCCTTGGAGGAAGCGCTGCGTAGAGCCCACAAACAGCTGGCCGGGCCCTGTCTGCACATAGCGCTCCTGGAAATCCTGGGGGAGGAAGAGGGGGAGGAGGAGGATGCTGGGTTTCAACTCAGCCCCCACTCAGGGGGAGAACTGGGTGGGCCTCTCAGCTCTTCCTCCAACCTGCTGGGCAGCCTCGGGCAGTTCGCTTCGCTCTGTGCTCTTCTTGATGGAATGGGGAGAATCCTCCTTCCCCGAGAAGCTGGGCTCAGAGTATCCTCTCACTGGGCCCCCAGCTGAGCCTGTTATAACCTGCTAGTCCTACCCTGAGTCCAAGACCATGACCCAGCCTCTGTTGGGGTGTTAGAAGGGAAAGTGGGCCTAGCTGATTGGGGGTGGTTGGGGACAGGCACTTCTCATGTCTGCACACCCCAGGGCATGACCCTTACCTGCACTTGAAGATCTTCATCAGCTAGGCTCTCAGGGACAATGCCATCAACCACCATGTCGAGGAGCAAGAGGCCATCTGGATCCAGGCCCCGAGCCACCTGGGTCATCCTGAGCAGCTCCCCTGCAACCCGCCCCACCCAGTCCCAAGTCACCATAAGAAGAAGTCCTGCGCTCAGGCCTCAGGCCTACCCAGCCCATCTGGGGGAAGACCTTACTCACCTGTATCAAACTCCACATGTGACTCCTGCCGGAAGCTGCCACCAGTCAGAGAGTGGCCATTCAGGGCCTCCCCACTCTCTCCAGCCAGGGCCCAGTAGATGGGGGAGATAGTGACCACAAGCACCCGCATCAGAGGCCCTGGGTGGGGCAGGGTCCAGAGGCCAGGTTAGGGCTAGATTTTCATGGTGGCCACTCTCCTGCTCTAGATCCATCTGTGGCTCCCCACTGCCCCCAGGGGAGCTCAGCCCCTTCCCTCCCTGCCCATGCTCAGCCTCATGACTACCTGTGCCAGTTACTTACCCAGAACCTGAGAAGTGGAGAAGGTAAATAATCTATTTCACAGTTATTGTAAAAATTATCAAAAGAAATGTATACAAAGAAATCCATGTGACTTGCTGATATTCAACTCAGTTCAGTAAATACAGTTTGTGGACTCCTGGGTCACTGTGGAGCCTGGGACTCTATGAACTGTCATTACATATTTGCTGGGCTGAGTTGAAAATTAACAATATTTCCTTCTGGAAGAGCCCAGGAGAGGAAGGATTACTCTAAATCACTTGCAAAAAGCCAATGAATTCCTGGACTCTCAAACTTTCACCTGATGTCTGGACTTCCTCTTGGGGCCAAGTGGGACCACAGACTGGGTGAGAGGACATGGCTCATTCCCTCCTTGCTCAGGGTGAGAGATGGTGACAGCTCTGTCGTGTTAAGGGGAGCCAGCTGGGCTCCTGTGCATGGGTAGAAACTTCTCTACCTTTGTGCGTCTGTTTCCACTGAACAGGGCCTGGCCCACTGGCTTGGGGCCAGATGTTTCTCACTGCTCTTCCTCCTGCACCTGGAATAAGCAGTCACTTCTGGGCAGCATCTGGCCTCTTTGGCTCTTTGCTGGCAGCCAACTTGGTGTGACTCCTGGCAAAGTCCCCTGACCGCACATTGCCCACACAGGACTGTGGCCAAGGGCAGCTTCAGAAGAGTCACACTTAGTAAAGACCCCATGAGCACTGCCCTTCCTCTGCTCCCTGGTCCCCTGGAAAGTGCAAGACAGGAGGTCCACCCTGACAAGTCTGCAAGTCTCCCAGACACTAATCCACTCGGACACCCATGTGATGGGTCAGGGTGCCTGGGGACCGTTCTTGGCCCTTTAGGTTTTCTAGCTAATTTGATTTTCCACATTTCCTGCTTTTTGTCACATCCAGCTGGCATCCCTCTATTGGTGGTCCCTTCAGTCCTATCAGCCCTGGCCTTGACCATGGGAAAGAGCCTCAAGAGCAATCAGTAGCTTCACATACCATGACCTGAGCTCCTGCAAGTACAGAATCTGACTGCTTCACACTGTCAGTCTGATTTTAAATGTTGATTTTGCATTCTGTGTGTGTGGGGGGGGCTGTAAGGCACAGAGAACGCTGCCTGTACCCAAGGCCACTCTAGCTTGGACTTAGCTGCTGGAGGCAGACATGCTCTAGTTCTTAGGTCCTGAGCAAGCCTGGGCATGCAGGCTTTGCCTCCCCCTGGGTCTAGCAGGTGCCAGAGGATCCGTGGTGGTCTGAGACAGTGGGCCCAGAGGCAGATGACACTGTTGCCCCCACTTACCCACATTTGCTGGGATGTGGATGATGCTGCTCTGGATGGTGGTGACCCCAGAACGCACCTCCTGCTGTACGCTGGTGTTGAGTGTGGCCACACCAAATTCCTGGCCATTGATCACTCCAATCATGCTGCCCCGGCTCCCCCAGGGCTTCCCTGTGAAGAAGAAAAAGAACAGTGGACTTGCTATTCATCCTAGTGCCCACAGTTGTCATTCCCATTTCATGAAGGAATAAAAAGAGGCTCAGAGAGGTGAAGAAACTCGCCCGAGGACACACAGCTAATGGGCAATGGACTTATCATCCAGGGGAGGTCCTAGCTCCAACAGTGAAGGGAAGCTGTTAGGGGGAGCCCTGAGCTGGGCTGAGGTGCCAGCTTCTAATTCTGGCTCTGCCATCACGTTCCTTGAAACCTGGCCACATCAGGCTCCCAAGCCACAACCAACTGAGTTGGCTCCTCTGTAAAATGATGAGGTGGGACCACAGACATGCAGGAGCCCATGATGGGGGGGTGGGGGTGGTGGTGGAGGATCCAGGGCACTGAGCCAGATCTGAGTGCCATCACCTGAACATCCCCCATTCCATCAGTGGCACTGGCTCCAGACGCCCTGCAGCTGGTTGGGGTGGGCTGGTTTCCTGGCAGCCGCCAGGCAGTCTGTGAGCAGATGCTCTTGAGCACTAATCAAATGGATGGCACAAGCACAGGGCACTTCCTCTGACTAATGCAGCAGCTGTCTTGCTTAGGCAGATGGCATTTGAGGGGGCGAGAGACAGAAGTTCGCCTGTCTCTCCACTTACTAGCTCTCAGGGGAAATTAACAACAAATTGCCCATGATCTGTCAAAAAATAACATAAAACACTCAACTGCCAGGATCCTAAACGGAGAAATCAGGGGGCTGGCTAATTCTGGATCTAGGGAGCAGTACTGTTTCCTGCAGACTAGATGAGATTTGATGAGATTTGCTGTCCATCTGGGATGGTTCTCGTCAATATTCGCTGCTCTGGGGTTTATGGGAGGGGTGGAAGAAGGGCCATGAACCCACTCCTGCCCTTTTAATGAGAGGAAGAGGAAGGAATTGGTCACTCCGGACAGGAAGGCAATAGCATGATGTGGGCAGTTTCAAAAGGGGACAGGAAATTGGAAGCCCAGGCCTGGCCAGCCACTGTCAACTTTCTCAGACATGGGGTGACTCAGCAGCTCCTTGTCCCTCATGAGGCCAGGGGTGGAACCTGCGAAGGGCAGGAGGAATGAAGTAGGCAAGAGGGAAGCCAGGTGTATAGTTAGGGGTTGAATTTCCTTTACCCAGCATGCTCCTTGCAGGAATTTCTCATCCAGAAGTATTCAGGCCAGCATACAAAGCTGGGCACCACGGAACGGTTTTTAGAGGGGAAATTGGAAAAATAAACTATGTTGCTTATTTAACAGAGCTAAAAGAAATCAAGATAAAAACCATCTCCACGGAATGCTCAGAAGCCAATAAAGAAGATGCAGACCTGCGTTCATTCCCCTGGGACGATGTCCAAGGTAGAGTTAAAATGGCAGGTTACAAAGACAACCTGTAACCTTGACCTCATTTGTAAAAAGAAAAAATGGTATCTCTTACATTCAGGGAAAAAAGAGTGTGGAAGAATCTATCCCCAAATAATTGCCCAAGCTATGTCTGGTAACTGAATTACGGGGAAGAATTCCTTTATTGTTCATAGATTTCGTATGATTCGGCCTTTCTATAGTTGGTGTACGTGAAGGAACAATGCTTGTTGCCATTAAATAAATAAGGAGGCTGTTATGTGTTGAATTGTGCGTCCCCCTCTGGAATTAATATGTTGAAGTCCTCACCTCAGGACTTCCTATTGTGACCTTATTTGAAGAGAAGGTCTTTACAGAGGACAAGTTAAAAGGAGGTCGTTAGGACTGGTGTCCTTATAATAGGGGAAATTCGGATTTTTTTTATTTTTTTATTTTTAAATATCCCCTTTACTGCAGAATAATAGGGGAAATTGGAGACAGACACCAACAGGCAGGATGTCGTGTGAAGATGAAGGCAGAGAGGAGACGATGCTTCTACAAGCCAAGAGATGCAGAGATCGGCAGCAAACCAGCAGCAGGTCGGGGAGATTGTCACAGCCCTGAGAAGACCCCACGAGAGTCTGAGGTCTCTCTCCTGCAGACCTCTGAGACAGGTCTGTGGTTTTAGCCCTCAGCTGAGGTACTTGGTAATACATAGTACAGGGAACGCACCCAGAGGCCATGTGCACAGCTGTGTGGTTAGAACTAGGGGCTTGTCAGCTAGAGAGGGACCAAGCCCTGACACAGGGATGGGGAGGGTGGGGAGGGTCTCTGCTCAGACCTCAATCTACTCCCGAGACAGCATCTCTGGCTGCGGTCAGAGAACCGTTGGGCAGTACAAATGCTAATTCAGTGACTTTTCACAGCAGCTCCCAAGCACCGTGGACATTCTCATCTTACTCTGCCTGCTTCATGGGATTGGAAGGTGTCCAAACAGAGGTCATGTTTGTACCAGTTAAGCTGGAACAGCCAGGGTCCTCTGTCCAAGGTGAATAGGGAACACCTAGGACCACTGAGACGCAGTTTCCCCCCTGAAAATGGGCCAGAGAGACAAGATGACCCATAAAGCCCTCCCAGCCATTCATTCTGAGTCTGTGACTAGGCAAAGAGAAGAGCTGGGAGCTGGCAGGGCAGGGGCCAGGCCCTTGCAAGCAGCACACTAATCCCCACGGTGCAGGAGGTCTGGGTGTGGATGCCCCGTACCTCTCACGGCCAGCAACGCACGGGCTGTGACAGAACCCAGGAGGTTGTAAGCGACACACTCGTACACACCAGCATCCTCAGCCTGCACGCGCGGCAGCCACAGGCTCCCGTCGGGCAGGGTCCGGAGCCGCTGGCTGCTCTCCAAGGGCTGGCCCGCCCGCAGCCACTCAACTGTGGGTGCTGGCTCTCCAGTGGCCTCACACGGCAGGGCCACATTGTCCCCGGATCTCACTGTCATGTCCTGGGGCTCCACCTGGAACATTGGGGCACCTGTGGGAGGCCCGGGAAGCTTTTTAGGAACATTTGATTGGTATTTTTGGTATTCAAGCAGTACACATTTAGACATAGTGGAAAATGCAGAGAGGCAGAAAGGAGAAAAGAAGGACGTATCATCCTCCCACCCGGCTCCCGTTCCTGTGTATTTCCCTCTGTCTAGGCATCATCTGTTTCCTTGTGAAAATAGGATCCTATTGCATGTACCTGCCTCTACTTTTGCTCCACAATAGACAACCACCTTTCTATGCCATTACACGTTTTGTTTTCAGTGGCTTTGTGATACGCCATCATTTGGCTCCACTGTGATTTGCTATACCCAGCCTCTCTCACAGGACATTTAGGTTGTTTCCAAATGTTTGGCAACATTTAGGAAGCCAGAGGTGCACCTGCCACAAGTGTCTCTCTGTGCTGTCCGGCTATCAGGGCAGACCTGGGCTCTGTCACCTACTCTGAATGACTCTTACCAGGTCTCTCCCTGACACTCAGTTTTCTCATCTGAAAGATGAGGATGGTAATTCCTGTCCACTTACTGCCGTGGTCTCTAGGGTGTAACACGGGGAAAAAAGGGAGTGCCCAGTGCTGAGAGACGCTGCAGTGGATGGCAAGTTGGCACCACAGTGGAGCCCCGTCTGCCAGAGGATTAGCTTCCTGTGGTGCTGTGACAAATTGCCACAGACTTGGTGGATTAACACAGCTGGGAGCCAGAAGTCCATGATCAGTTTCACTGGTTAAGGTGCCACGCTCCCCTTCTGGGGGAGATTCTGTTTCTTGTCCCGTCTGGCTCTGGTGGCTGCCAGCATTTCTTGACGTGAGTCTGTGCCATTCCATCCTGTGTCTTTATTTTGCCTGTGTGTGTCCAATCTCCTTCGTGTTGTCTTTTATAGGAAACTTGTGATAGCACTTTGTGCCCACTAAAATAATCTGAGATAATCTCTTCAGATCAAAATCCTAACTTAATCTCATCTTCAAAGACTCTTTTTCCAAATAATGTAACAGTCACAGGTTCTGGGGATTAGGACGTGGACAAATCATTGGGAACCACTGTGGCACACTACAGTCAATGTCTCCTGAAGCTGAGCTCCTGTGGACTACATGACCTAGCAATTCCGCTCAATACCCTGGACCACACAGGTGCACCTACATGCTACATGTTTACCAAAAGACATACATAAGAACGTCATAGGAGCACTGTTTTTCACTGCCTTTAACAGGAGACCAACCTACACTGGAACACATAAATACACTGTGGCATATCCTTAGAGTGGCAAATCACACAGCAATGAGAACAAATAAACTAACTCCACAGGAACAAAATGAAGAAATGCCACAAATGAGGTTGTGTAAAAGAGGCCTGAGAGAGTGCATTTGATATGATTCAACTTAAAGGTCAAAAGGAGGAAGAGCAAGACTTCCTGCAATGGCTGTGCAGAGGCCAGCAGACCTGCTCCCCCAAACAAGGACACTGGGCAACATTGGAAGACACGCAACACAATCAGTGTGAACAACTATTTCTGGGCTCTGGAAGTCAACCAAAGGCAAATGAAATGACACTTTTGGAACTATTTATCCATAAAAGCTTCTAGAACTTTGGATGAGAACAGAAGTCTGGCCTTCCTGCCTGGGACTGTGGCCACTTCTACCCACTGTGGTCATCATAGTGGTGTTATTAGGGGAGGGTGGCTGTGAAGACCAGCAGCGTTTGCCCCTCCCAGTGGGGGCTTTCTGGCTGTGCAGCAGAGGGTGCAAATGTGCCCAGAGAGGGACCATCAGGAATAGTGGCGAAACTGGTTGGAAGCAAATGGGAAATGGCAGCTCTGCCAGCCTGAGATGTAGTGGGGAGACCCTGGAAGTGAGACGCCATGGAAAATAGGCATCTGTGCAGGGGGGACCTGGGCGGTCCCAAGCAGAGTCACACAGAGGCAGACTTGAAAAGGGCCTGAATTTTGATTTACTCCACAGCCACACTTCGCTGAGATTTTTCTGTTTTTTCATCTGCTTCATCTTGTTCACAATTGCTCAGTGACGCATTTTTATGATGGCTATTTTAAAATCCTTGGGGTATTACTCAAACTTCTGTGCCATCTCAGCTAGTGTCTGTGGGTTGTCTTTTCTCATTCCAGTTGAGATCTTCCTTGCTCTTGGCATGATAAGTGAGTTCCAGTATACAATGCTTGGGTTCTTATTTAATCTTGCATTTTCGCAGACCTTCTATGACGCAGCCAGAGGAAAGGAGGTGCCACCTAACTTCTGTCAGGGGCTTGAGAAAGTCCAGCGTCCTTGATGCCCCAGGACAGGGAGTGTGCCTCGTTATTGCTGGGCAGGGTGGGAGAGGACAGGCCTCACACTAGGCTCCCGTCCTTCCCTGGCTGGGAGGGACAGGGACACACTCTTTGGCTCCCACTTGGCTGTCCCTTGGCCTGTGTGTCTGTCTCTACATGCTGACTCCTCTGGGCATTTCACGTAAGTGGAATCGTGCCATATTTGCCTTCTTGCCACTGGCTTTGATTAGTTGGCATAATATCCTCCTGGTTCATCTATGGTACAGCCTATGTCAGAATGTCCTCCCTCCTTAAGGCTCAGCAGCATCCCATGAATTGTATGAATGGGTGAATTTTATGGTCTATAAATTATATCTCAATAAAGTTGGATTTTTTGCTGTTGTTTTATTTTTGTTCTTGTTTTGAAACAGAGTCTTGCTCTGTCGACCTGACTAGAGTGCACTGGTATGATCACAGCTCACAGTAACTTCAAATGCCTGGGTTCAAGTGATCCTCCTGCCTCAGCCTCCTGAGTAGCTGGGACTACAAGTGCATGCCACACCTGGCTAATTTCTATTTTTTGTAGAGCAGGGTCTTGTTCAGGCTGAACTCCTGGCCTCAAGCAAACCTGCCTCAGCTTCCTAAAGGGCTAGTGTTATAAATGTGAGCTGTTGCACTTGGCTCTATAAAGCTCATTTTTAAAACAATTAAAAACAGGCAAAGCTCGGGACAGTGATTACGGGGCAGGGGCCTATGAGTAGAAGGGGGCATACTGGGGGCTCTGGGAGCTGACACGGGTCTATTGTTCTAATCTAGGTGCTGGTTAACTGGGTGGGTTCATGTTATAAACTTTGCTGAGGTCGACGCCACAGTACGTGCTCTTTTCCAAGTATGCATTCATCTTCCATAAAACATTTCCTACAAAGTCCCTACCGAGACTACTTCACAGTGTTACTTAGAGGCTCAGTAGTGCTTGGTAAAGTATAAACAACTTGGAAAGTGCAGGAGCTGGGGCCAGGATCTCGATGAGAGTTTTGAGTTTTAAATAACCAGCTCCCCCCAGGCATGGCTGGAGGGTCACTGAGTATTTATTGGCTCAACCCTGAGTGTCATACACATTTGGCAAACATTTCACGGGACTTTAGTTGTGTAGTCCAAATAATTACCAGTTAAAGACGTCTAAGTCTCTGGCCCTGCCTCTCCTGGCCACGCCTCTCTTGGCCACACCAGACATCGCTATCCCTGGGTGTTACTTCCCGTGACCCACCCTGCAGAGGGGGCAGGGAGGCCAAGACTCACTCTGCAGTACAAGGAGCACCACTTTCTTCACGGTGCCCATCTCGTTCTCTGCCAGGCACTGGTACTGTCCCGCGTCGTCCCTCTGCAGATGGCAGGGGGTGGGGGAGCTCAGGAGAGAGGACCAGCAGCTTGGACGGCTGGGCACACTTGGGATGATTAGACCCAGATCCAGCTGGCCAGCAAAGAGCTTGGAGATTAAACCAGCCAGGGTCGCCCAATTCTCCACAGTGCATCAGAGGGGCCTCTGTGGCCGCTTGTCACTAGATGTACCAAGAGAATCCAGCTTCTTTGCACACCCAGAACCAGGGCTGGTGACTAAGGGGATGGAATAATGGCCCTTAGGAGATTCACTGCTGGGAAAAGCATGACTTAGATCGGCCTCTCCCACATTGTTTGCATTGAAGTCCTGCTGCTCCAGGGCACATTTATCTGGGAATCCTTGGGGAAAACAGGATTCCAAGGTCGAATAAGTTTGGGAAGCACTGAGTTAGATAACAACACGTTTCTGAACTACAGGATTTTTTAGCGCCTTTGTTGTCCTAGCATGCACCTCGAGTCTTCCAGAAGGGAGAAGGTTTGCAGTGCTTCTCCAACTTAAGTGGCCGAGGAAGCTTTGTTCATGGACTTGGGATAGAACTCAGGTATAGCACTAGCTCAGGTCACTTCTCAGTGGCAGTGCCACTGTGAGATGGGGCAAGGGAAGCTTGAGGCCACCATTCATGCCACTAGATGATATATGAGGCCACTTTCAAGGGACTATTGGGGGCAGCATGGCACAAACTTAAGAGTCCAGATTTGGGACCAAATCCCAGCCCTACTATTTACTGCACCGAACTCATTACTAGGACATTCCCATATCTCTGGAGCCTCAGTTTTCCCAGCTATAAAATAGAAATGATAACCAGTAGGATTGTTAAAAGTATTAAGTAACATGATGCTCATGAATTGTGAGGCCAACAATTAGTACTTGAGTAGTGGCAGCCATGACTGTTGCAATTATCACTGGTCCTGTTACTGCTGCTGTCCAGGGAAACGCTCCAAGATTAGGGCCCCAAAGATGAACCTGAGACTAGACTGACTCGTGGATTTCTACACAATCACTGGAAACTGGGACACAGGAGGGCAGGTGAAAGGGAGCTGCCCCAGCACTCGAGGCTTTGGAAACAGCATGTGGCAGGAGCTGTGGAGCTGGGGAGCTAAGTGGGGTCCTGCTTCTTTCACGTACCGCTTGTGAGCCTCTCTGAGCTTCAGTGTCTTCATCTGTAACATGGGGGCACTATTACCTGCCTACCCGGCCCCGGGAGTTGTTAATAAAACTTTTGAGGCATTACCCGCTGACCACGCTTAAATTCGTTGTATGAGTCATCTCACTGATTTTTCACTATAACCCTGCAAAGTGGAAATAATTATTAGCTCTACTGAGTGGGTGAGCTGACTAAGGCACAGAAAAGTTAAGTCACTGGCTGGAAGTCCCCCTAGGTAGAGTGGGAGGATGTTTGGGAACTGGGCAGGGACATGCCTTATGGACTATAGAGGAAGGTGCCAACCTAAAGAACCTTCCTGAACAATTAGAGAGAGTCCAGGGTAGTCTTGGGTGGCCCTACCTGAGGGGCCCTGCCTTACCTCAGTCCTGGGAATGATCAGTGAGCCATTCTGTAGCTGGCGCCGGAGACGGCTGCCCTGCAGGGGAAGGCCATCTTTCATCCAGTGGATGTTGGGTGTTGGGTCTCCATGGACCACACAGTCTAGCTGGACACTGGACCCCACAGGTTCCACCAGGTAGGAGAAAGCCTCCCCTTGTAGGACAGGAGCCTCTGCATGGGGTGACATCAAACAAGTAGTCAGGAGATGGACACCCTTCAGGCTCAACCTTCCATAAACCGGGCCCCAGTGGCCTGCCCAACTCCCACCTCCAGGGGCCTACAAAGGCTCCTGATAGGCCAGCGTCATGTATCAGTTCATGATGTCCTGGGTCAAGTCAGGGACTGGCAGTGGCTTCCAGGAACTGTGCTGAGAAGGATTTGAAGCTGAGTGAAAATGGTGCTGTGATTAACTAGTGATGCCTGAGATGGGTGCAGGTGGGAACTCAGGGTTACATATGTCATGTGCTTGCTCTCACAGATGGATTACACCAGAGGCTTTGCCAGGTACTTTGGAAATCAAGAGCTACAGGAAAACAATGACATCAGGGCACCTATTCTGTGCACAGTAACGCTAAGTTTCATGTGACTCTTGAAACGCTCTTGGATGCCCTGTGCCAGCTTCCAGCCTTCCTGCTCTCCTGAGGAATCTACCAAGAGCTGCAGCAGTATCCCAGTGCTACTTGTCAAACTACCCTGGAGTCATGCAAACTAAGTCATGGCATTACCTAGGGTCACTGTGCTGCTCCAGGTAGGGCAAGGCCACAAGCCTGTAGGCTGGCAAGCTTCAGGTATCTTTCAGCCAGGGTGCCCTGGCCCCTAGGCTTCCTCCCACCCTGGTACCACAAGCTACAGGTAGCTGCAGGCTCATTGGTCAGATTAGAATTCTACCTGCTGTCCAAGCTGTTGGGCGAGTGTAAAAAATGCTGATGCCTAGGCACTACCCCACAGTGATGGTCGACTGAGTCAGAGGTGGAACTTGGGCCTCAGCATTTCAGAAAGTCCCCAGGGGATTCCAAGGTGCAGCAGGGTGGACAGCCTCTATCAGAGGACAGGATGCCGATTTCTCAAAAAACCAACAGACTGAGTTCCATGGAAGTCTCAAGAGAAAGGCCACCCAGGCTTGTGCCTTACCCTTCACGTGGATAAAGCTGACTGCCTGTACACGGCCCACTCTGTTCTCAGCCCAGCAGACATAGGTCCCGCTGTCCTGTCTGGTGACCGCAGCCCGCTGCAGCGTGCTGCCCCCGTCCTGTTCTGACACCCCTTCTGTAATGGAGAAAGACATGGGGGACTATAAGTCCAGGTGTAGGGAACTCTTGCCCTAAACTTTCAGGCCACAGTACCCAGCAGGAGCTCAGTAAAAGTGCACCCCCAGAAGGAAATGCCCTTCTCCCTGGGTGCAGGCTGACCAAGACAGACCTGCTCACAGGGGCACACTGACATGTGGCACTTCCAGAGACACGGCTGTGTCTTCTAGAGAGATGGATTCTTTTACTGGACTTTGTTTTCCTTTGTTCTGAGTTAGACATCGCCCACCACAGGCATAAAGATAAGCACTCCCCTCACCTGGGCATTTACTCTGGGCCAGGCCTGGTGCCCAGCGCAGCCCCTGTGTTAAGTCACTCTGTCCTTGGTCCCCATTACCTCCATTTCACAGGTAAAAACTCAGGGCTCAGAGAGGCTGAACCACTGGCTCTGGTCCCTCTCCAAGAAATGGTGGGGCCCACCCAAGTCTTCACCACAGGGGTGCAAAGGTGTTTCACACCTGTGGACTTCAAATTTAGAAATGTGGGGCCCCAGGTAGAAGGATGGAGCCCCCCAGGGAAAGGGGCTGGCTAAGGGTCCCATGATGGGAGTGGTGACTCTAGGCCAGAACACAGGCCTCCCCTCCTGGCCTCGTGGTCTCTGGCTTGGGTCACCTTCTCAGGTGGCCTCTTGCTATCTCTGATACATGGCCTAGAGGATATGGCCATAACTGGGTTTGCTCTGTCCCCCTGCACAGGGCCAAGTCTGGAGATCCAGATGTACAGGCAGGCTGACAGCCTCTTCCTGTCTGCTGGGCTAGATTTCTGCACCTGTCCTCCCTACGCAGTCTCCCAGGGTCCTGGTCTCTGTCCCAACCTCCCCCAGCTGGCCCAGACCTGTGACTGGCTGGTCGTTGATGATCCAGCCAATGCGGGGGGTAGGGCTGCCCCGGGCCGCACAGCGAAGCCACAGCCTGTCCCCGGGGCGCAGGCTGCGGTCCCCAGGCAGAGTGGTGAACACAGGCAGCGCCAGGATGGTGAGGTGCACGCGGCGGCGGGCACGGCCCGCGGTGTTCTCAGCGGTGCAGGTATAGGTGCCTGCGTCCTGGCCCTGCAGGCAGAGGGAGCTGGGTGGAGCATTGCCCTCCTCCCTGGTGTGGGCCAGGATGCCTGCGGGGACCCATTCCCCCACAAGTGCCCATAGAGTGTCCAGCACAGAGAGGTAAAGAGACTTGCCCAAGGTCACACAGCTAGTAAGTGGTCAGAGTCGGATTCACCACTGTACCATAGCACTCCATGGCAGCATTCATATAGCTCTGCTCCTTCATAACCCAAGCCCTATTTGCACCATCGCAGCCATTACCATTTACTAAGCACCTACCACGTACCAGGCACTGTGCATAGAACTTAACCGGCACCAGCTCATCTACGCTCAAGTCGCCCTGAGGCAGGTCTCATTTTTGGTGCCTTTATAGAGGGCCCAGGAGGCTTCAAGAGGAGGAGTTTTGTGTGTGTCCTTGCAGGGCCAGCATGCTCACCACTGCGCCACAGTGCCCTGCGTGCTATGGGCCCTGTGATGCCCCAGGCGCATGCTCCACCGAGCCCCTGGAGTGGCTCACTGTGTATTTGATGAGTGCTGACAGGGACAGGGCCCGGGTCCCACCCACACCCCTGGCTCAACACCTCTGAGACCACAGGGGACATTTGATGTCAACGTGCAGTTGAGAACAACCAGGTGACTGTGCGGACACAAAGTTGTCACCACACCCCCAGTCCCTGCTCCCCTCCATCCCCAGATCCTGCCCCTGTGGTCTAGGTTCCAATCTGGGCTCTGCCTGTTGGTAACAGTGAATCTTGGGACAAGCAGTTCCACCCAAGCCTCGGTTTTGTATCCACGTGCAGGAAGGGAAGATGGTGTTTATTTCCAGGCTACTGGGGCTCATAGGACACAGCAAACAGGGGTCTCAGTGGACATGTGCTGCTCCTGGGGCGGCCCTCACCTCCAGCTCCTTCACCAGCAGCTCCCCAGAAGGCTGGATGGTGAACTTCCCCTCGGGGCCTGACACAGGCTGGCCGTCTTTGTCCCAGGTGATGTCAGGCTCGGGACTGCCCCTGGCTGTGCAGGGCAAGAGGACATGGGAGCCTTCAGTGGTGGACAGGTCCGGGAGGCCATTCTCAATCACTGGTGGAACTGCAGGGAGAGGGGGGGTCCCCACTTGGACTTGGGCTGGGGAACAGGCTGTCCCCACCCCAGTGCCCGTGTCCCTTGGCTTGGCCCCTCAGCCATCAGCTGTGCCTACGAGCTCCCCCATCACAGGTCATTGCCCAAGGTCAGGAGGATTTGGGGACTCTGAGTTTGGTGAAGCTGTGATGCGTGACCCCACCGCCCTGTGTACATGCGCACACACGAAGACGAAAAGCTTCAGGACGGAGGCCTGGGCAGGCTCTGCGCGGGCACAGACTCCTCATGCCGACCACCTCCAGGGCCAAAGCAGAGCTGCCGTCACAAGGCCTCCCTTGGGGAGAGGCTGCTCTGGGGGCAGAGTAAAGGTCACTGGCTGGCCGTCTAGTGACCAACGACACTCCAGGTCACAGGGAGAGGAGCACGCAGGACAAGGAGGCTCAGAGGAGCACAGCGCCTGGAGCCCTCCATGTTCACAGCCAAAGTCTGACCCCAGCCCTATGCAGCCTGGGTAGAGATAGCCCCTGAGACACCACAAAGCCGGCCACTGGGGCCAAAGCACACTGTCATGTCCTGAATAGTCCTGGCCAGCGGTGTCCCCTTACCTCTGGAGGGAATGACCAGTTAAACTCTGGGTGGGCCCATGTAATTGTGTGTGCAGGGGAGGAGACCAACATGGCCACTGGTATGGGAAAGCCAGAGTGAACAAAGGATCCCAGCCCAGTGTCCAGGAGGGACCAGAGAAAAGGCAGAGGAGAGGGGAGTTTATGCCTAAAGCCAGATCTTGACACAAGATGAGAGATGTTTCCCCTTGATTCCTCTAGAACTATAAACAGTGCTGAGGTTGGGGAGGATGCTGTGATGTGCCTTGCCTGGGGCCCAGAGAAGGTCCCAGGACTTATTTCTCAAGGGGAAACATCTGGGCACCAATGTCCACTGTGGCCCCTCCGTAGGCCCACCTTGCACCACCAGCCGCATTTTCCCAATGGCGCTGCCTATGCTGTTCTGAGCAATGCAGAAATAGTTCCCAGCATCCTCAGGGCTGGCACGGATAATCCGCAGCTGTCCGCTTGGTAGGACCCGGGTACTTGCTCCTGGATGTGGTGGGAGAAAGTTGGAAGCCAGTGGCGGTGGTGGGGGCCCCGAGAGGAGAGGAGGGCAGATTGGGCTGTTCTGTCTGACAGGCAGCAAATGACTTGCTGGATCGCAGAATGACCAAGTGACAGAGTGAGTGGGGAAGCCTAGCCCAGAGTCCAGCCCAGCCACTGCCCCTCTCTGACCTCCCAAGTCAGCCTCTGAGTGCTGGGCTAGAACCTCTGTCTGTGGTGGGAGCAGGAGGGTGCAGCCAGAGCAGGGGGGCACATCCATGCAGGCCTGGGGGCTTTCAGAGACCTGGAGCAGGTCTGTGGAGTTTCCTGGGGAAGGAAGGAGGACCCCAGTCCTGTGCTCTTCCCTTCCCCCCCAGGGACACTCACCTGCAGGGACACTGAACCCTTCCTTCTGCCAGGTGATGGTTGGCCGGGGGATGCCTGAGGCCTCACAGGGCAGCAGTACCTCCTCTTGTGCCACCACTTGAACCACACTGGGCAACGGCTTCACCACAGGGGCGGCTGCAAAGGAGTCCAGAGGTCCCTGGGATGCCTTAAAACCAGCTCCTCTAACCAGGGGGCTCCCTCTGAGCACTGGACAGAGGCCTCTAAAGGGATCAGGGTCTGGAAACCGGTCTGACATATCAACAAGGATGCTGGGGCTGATGTTTTCCTCCCAAAGAATCCCATCAGGGCAGATCCGGGCCCTGGGGCCTCCCCTCCCTCCATCCTGGGCTCCACCTGCCTCTATCTCTCCACCTGCTCCCTTGGTGGTCTGGGCCAGGGACCCTTACCTTGCACAGTGAGGACCACGTGCTTGTGGGCCACACCAGCAGAGTTGCGGGCTGTGCAGGTGTAGCGGCCAGTGTGGATGGGAAGGGCCTGCCTGATCTCCAGTGCGCCTGTGGGTGGAAACCGTCATGGGGGTGAGGGGGTAGGGCCGAGGTCGCCCATGATGGAGGTAGCAGGGCTCCCACACAACCCCACCCTGAGGTCTCTGGTCCCAGACATTCAACCTGCCTCCCCTGCCCTTTTGTAAACAGCACAGGGGATCAGATGACATGGAAACCTGGGTTTTATGACTGCCTCTGCCCTCTGCCCAAAGCATAATCGTGGGCAAGTTCCACCTACTCTCTGGGCCTAAGTTTCCCCATGTATACCATGAAGAATCAGACAAGATGGTCTCTAGCCTCTTCCAACTGTGAAGTTCCAAGATCTGCTACACCCAGCATAGAATCCCTAACCCAGAGTTCCCATCTTTGGCTATTCTCTCCTTGCTCTGTTAAAAACTTACCTCCAGGAAGCCTTGCAGGATTACTTACCCCTCCATCCTCCCTTTGCCCTCCCTGCCTCTGCCTTGGTCACCATCTAACCTTCCCAGGCTGCAGGCTGCACCTCCATAATTGAATGAAGTTATTCCTAAATTGTCCTCCATGGACCCCCAGGCCCTACTGGGTGGGCAAGGGGAGCAGAGTCCACTGAACCCTGGCCCAGCCCGCAGACCCTGTCCTGTCCCAAATGGAACTAGAACTGTGGCTTGTTCGACTCACTGGGCTTTGTTGTTATCACTCGCTGGAGTGAAGTTCTATCGCTTCCGAGGGGTGTGAAGACTACAGATCCGGCCAGTGGTTCCTAGACTTTAGGATTTTACTAACTGGCCAACTAATACATTTAATTTGGAGAATCCCTATAAAGTGGCCAACTTTTACTTTGTTAAGCAAAAAATCCTAAAAATCACTATTTATTTACTATTACCTTAATTCCATCAAAGAAAGGAACTTTCATTACTAAAAGACCGAGAGCATGATTTCAGAAGGAAGGGTGTTCCTTTTAATGGGGTACACAGGTGGGCTTAGAAACACTCGCCGGCAGCTATTACTTTTCCCATTTTCCTATGAAACAGCACTGATTTGCCCATGAGCGTTAGGGATCTCAACCCTGAAGTGCACAGAGGAGGGACTGCAGCTCAGAGAAGTCAAGGGGGCTCTCCTGGTCACAAAGCAAGTGAGTGGCAGAGCTAGGCCAGGACCTGCCATCTTGCTCTACCACGTGGGCTCCCTCTCTCTGCCCGCACTCCCTGTCTCCCCCATCTCTGCGGTTCACCCTTACTTACCTGAAGGTGAGACACGATAGCCGCTCCCCCGCACCCCTAGCTGGGTGCCTGCCTTGCTCCAGGACACAGTTGGAGCTGGCACACCGGTGCTGTGGCACGTGAGGACTACAGGTGCCATTGTGGTCACAGTGAAGTCTGTCTGGTCATCAGCAATGGTGGGAGGCCCTGAAACCCAAGACAAGGTTTGAGGCCGTGCTGGGTACAGCTGGGAGGGAGCTCTTGGCCATGGGTCCAGGCCCTGAGAATTATACATGTAGGCTGAGACACAAGGTGACCTTAGTGACCAAGAGCAAGGGAGGGAAGCAGGAGCAGCAGAGGGGTGTCACATGTGCTCCCTCAGCAAATATTTGGGGCACAGGGATATAGCCATGCACAACTTTTTGTGAAGATGCTGGTCTGGTAGCTTTACACCACAAGTTCGATGACAGAAGGGAGCTTTGAGGGAGGCCAGAGAAGGCCCTGGGGGAAGTGGTATCTAAATTGAGATCTGAAGGAAAGAAGGTATTGGCTGAGTGACAGGAGAAGTGTTCCTGGCAGGGGGAATAGCATGTGCAAAAGCTCAGAGGTGAGCAGCATGGCTGGACCCCTGAATGAGGTGGGTCTGGGGGTCAGCAGGGCCAGACCTCACAGGACCTTATGGACCCAGGTGAAATCTTGCATTCTACCCTGAGGGAAGTGGGCAACCATGAAGGGGGAAATTTCTAACCAAGATGATATGGTCAGACTGTGTTTAGAACATTCTGGATTTGAGGGGGCTCTCCTGGGAGATCCTATGTGCCAGGAACTGGGTTGGAACTGGGGTTATATCAGGGTGGGTGGGCAGGACCTGAGAGGGCTTCCTGGGAAGCATGGGAAGGCTGGGAGGAAATCAGAGCCATTCTCTGCAGAAGGGAAAGAACCCAGGGGCAGGAAGGTGCTGCCCCACCCCCCAGGCCTCTTTCGTGGCCTCGGGCTCCAACTCACCGTGAACAGTCACCTGGTAGAGCCTGCGGGCCTCACCCACCTCGTTGCTCACCACGCACTCAAACTGGGCTTCATCCTGGGGGCTGGGGGCTGTGAGCAGCAGAGCATTGGAGGGCAGGAGCCTGGGGTGGACAGACAGCTAAGTGACTGGTCTGAGCCAGTCACAGCCTTTCTGCTGGGGCAGTCTGAATGTGGGGCCTCATGACCATCTCCATTCCTATACCCAGTTCCCAGCCCTATCTGACTCTAAAAGTTTCTTCTAGAAGTTTCTGCCCCAAAAGGTCTAGCTGTTGGACTTGTAGGTAATTTTCATCCCTGAGTTTCCCTATAACCCTGAATGTTTGCTATGTCATAATAACCCTCTCTAAAGCTTTCTTCTTTCTTTCTTTTTTTTTTTTTTTTTGAGAGACAGCGTCTCACTCTGTCACCTCAGCAGGATCAGCAGGATCATAGCCTACTGCAGGCTGGAACTCCTGGGCTCAATCGATCCTCCTGCTCTGCCTCCCGAGTAGCTGAGACTACAGATGTACACCATTACACCTGGCCATTGGCTTTTTTTTTTTAATTGTCTGTAGAGACAGGGTCTCACTATGTTGTCCAGGCTAAAATTCGTGACTTCACCAGTATTCCCTCCTGAGCCTCCCAGAGTGCGAGGATTACAGGTGTGAGCCACTGTGCCTGGCCCTATGATAACTTTTTATCATTATAACCACATTGGAATCCCCAAACTTTAGACACACAGCTCCAGATGACCTGGCACCTAATACAATGAAGATCTGGTGAATTCTCTGCTGTTTCAACCCTTTAATGCCCCCAGTGACCATTTAACAAAAAGCTGCATCTGAGAAACGGGGAGGTAGAGGTTCCTGGGGTGATTCTACACCCAGACTCAGCTGGCCCGAGCTCAGGCTGCCACATTTTGTTTATAAATAAGAACAAAATGACGGACATAAAGGTCACACACTCTCTGTTTGGTCGTGTATCCCAAATGCTCTCATCCCTTTGTGTAAAGACCCCCTGTTCCCCGAGGCCACACATACATTCCGGTCATGGCTTTAGTGAGACCCAAGCACACCTTGCCTCATTTCTGCCCTGTACCCCCTACCCTGTGAGATGCCCTCCCCTGTGAGATGCCCTCCCCCCCACCCGGTGTGTCCCAGGATGCTGCTGCAAGGGTCAGCTCATTACCGGTAGGCACCCTGCTGCAGGCGGGAGTCCAGCTTCTGTCCATCCTTCCACCAGGTCACCAGGGGTTTGGGGGAGCCGCTGGCCTCACAGGGCAGTGAGGCTGGGGTGTGGGTAGTCAGGGTCAGGTTGGCGGGGCTGGGGGCAATGGCTGGAGGCTCTGGGGAGAGGGCAGTGGTCAGGAGACAAGGTGCAGGAAGGTTGAGGGTGATGAGCTCCCCAAGGCTGTGTCCAGAGGCTGTGCCTGGGGCAAGGGCACTCCCTCTCCTCTTCAGCCTGTCTCTAACGTGGGGGCAGGAGACACTTTGGAGGGGGAGCTTCCAACAGGCTCCCAAAGCTGAGGTGTTTGGGGCCTGCCCCCACCCTGAGCCTTGTGCCCCCTCATCACCTGTCCTTAAACGAAGCCTCCAGGGTTTGACTTCCCATCAGCCCCTGACCAAGGCCAGAGTCCACCAGAGCGGCCTCCAACAAGGCCGTCCATTGGAGTGGGCAGAAGAGATAGGGCATCTGATTGTGGTGACCTTGAATCTAAGCTTTTAAATGTTTGACCTTTTGTGCTTTCTTACTCCCAATAGAACAGTATCGTAGCAGGTACATGTAGAATATGTGTAAAAATAATCTTCATCCCTTAACTACACAAGAGCAAAATTTTCTACTAATGGCCTTCATGGTCAAAAACATTTGAAAACCACTGCTCTTGGCTCCTTACAGCTAGGGTGAACCAGAAGCTAAGCAGGACCGGCCACTGAAGGCAGGGAATACACTCTTCCCCGGGCCACGTACCAAAGACCTGGAGGTGGCGGGCTTGCCGATCGGAGCCCGCAGAGTTGGATGCCAGGCAGATGTAGTGGCCTGCATCCTGGACGAGGACTGGCTGGATCCTCAGTGAACCTTCGGGCAGAACTTCAAACCTGCAAGGGAGGGAGGAGCTGCCATGGAGACCAGCAGGCCGGTGGGGCCTCCCCTCTGCCCTGGCTTTCCCAACAAGACCACACTGACTCAGGATTCAGAGTCTTGTGTCTGTGAGGCCAAGATCAGGGGTCACACCCATGGGCAGTTCCCACGCTCCAAGCCAGCCAGCACTGGAAAAGTAGAGAGGGGCTGCTCTAAGCCTCCCATGCTACTGCCTGGCCTCTCCCAAGAGACAGTGGGACAACATTCTTTGTGGGAATGGGCCCTAGGTCTGAGAAGTATTCTTCCCAGAGGCCATGTCTATACTGGGCAGTCCTGCCCCTGCCCACAGCAGATCGGATTGGAGACATAGCATTCTGGCTGGGCCACTGGCATTCTCTGCCCAGCGAATGTGGGATTGGGATTCACAGACAATCATTAGGTCATATGAGCTGAGGAGCTATAAACTTGGGGGCCCAGGGGGTGCTAGGGAGGCATCTCATGTTCACAGATAGAGAAGGGAGAGAGGGAGAGAGGAGAGAGACATGAAGCCCAAAGGGAGATAGGAAGAGAGGAGAGAAACATGAAGCCCACAAGCAGAGAGAAGCAGAGATCAGTAAGAGCCCTTAACGAATGGCCTGCCTGTCCTTGTGTTCCAAGGGACACTCCACGTCCTAATGATAAAGACACTTTTTGTGCTCTGACTACCCTGGTGGGTTTCTGTTTACAACCCACAAAGAGGCACCTGAGACCCTCCCAGAGGCCCATCCCTTCTAGCTCCCACCTGGGGCTCCCAGGATCCACGGGGGCCCCATCCTTCCTCCAGCTCACGAGGGGCTGGGGCATGCCGTCGGCCTGGCAGGGCAGCAGGGCCGTCTGGTTCACCGAGGCATTCACAGAGGGCGGTCCTGCCCTTATGGTGGGTGAAGCTGGGGAGAGCAAAGAGGGCCGTGGCTGGGAGCCTGTCCCTCTGAGGGATGGGGAGGGGTAGGATGGAGTGGGCCACACTCACTGTGGATCTCCACGAGGAAGGCCACGCTGCTGCTGCCTGCAGCATTGTGGGCTGTGCAGCTGTAGTTGCCGCCATCGGCCGTGCTCAGGGCCTGCAGCTGGAGGAACCTGCCCTGCTCAGGGAACTGTGTGTGGGCGTCCTCCTGCAGAGACCCCAGGGGTGGGGGAGGGGGAGAGTCTGTCAGCAGCAGGCCGCACCAGACAGGGAAGACTAGGAGCCAGTGAGGCTGGGCAGGAGCTTCTGCCCCATTCCAGGCTGGCTGCAGGCCCAGAATCAATGCCCAGCTGAAGACCCTCTGAGGAAATGGGCTCCCCTAGGAGGAAATGCACCTCTCCCTGGAGCTCTTGCCAAAGGACCTATAACCCTTGATGCACAACAGCAAGCTGGCCCTGTTTGAGGAATAAGTGCCGGAAGCCTCTGTCACTGGCCCCAGGTCACACAGCCACTAAACACAGCTTGGAGGAACCATGGGAGGAACACCAGGGGTATGCCTCAGCAGCCCGGTGCCCGGAGCCTTGCCTCAGAGTCCAGTCTAGAATAGGGGTGGCAGTAATGTCTGGAGGGGGAGGAGGAGGCCCAGAGAGTAATAGCAAAGTGGTGCTCAGAGCAGCCTTGGCACCCAGCACTTCAACTGATGGGCTGGGGCCTGAGAAGGGCAGAAGGCAGCGTCCCTGGGGGCCCCGCCTGGCACTCACCTTCAGCAGGACGCTGTCTCGGTGCCACTCAATCTCAGGCGCTGGCTCTGCCTCTACAGGACACTCCAGGACCAGCTGCCCCGGAGCCAGGCCGACCACAGAGCGGGGGCCTTGGGGCCCAACAATGTTTGGAGGGGCTGGGGGTGCAAGAGGACATGAGGGGTAGACCCACCCCTACAGGCCCCATCCTGTCTCCCACCCTTCCCCCTGCCCCCACATTCCCTACCTTGAACCCTGACCCAGAAGCTCTTCTCCACTTCACCTGCAGGGCTCTCAGCCAGGCAGGTGTACAGCCCAGCATCGCCCACCTGGGGATGGAGCAGGGTGAGCAGTAGGTGAGCACTGCCCACCTACCAGTCTGGCTTTCTTCTTACACGGTGAGGGACCCAGGATCCAAACTCAGCCCTGTAGAGGCCCAGCCAGCCTGCACCCCTCTCTGGGATTCCCCATCTCCATCTCAATCTTGCTTCAAGGCAGGCACATGGCCCACCTCCTTCCCAAAGTCCCCCCTGACTACACCAGTCCTTATCTGTCCTTGATGGGAAGTTACTTGGGTTTTGCATCAACCTTGGCTTTGACCAGGCTGCGAGCTCCCAGACCACTGCCCAGGTGGGTCATATCTACACTCTCACCCCTCACAAAGGAGGAGTTTGGCCAGGCCTTGTCAAATGCCCTCTGGACCTGGGGAAGCTGCCATCTCCCTTCTTCCCCCACCACAGCCTTGTCCCTGACGGCAGGGCACCCATACCTGCACACCCTCTACCCGGAGCATCCGGCCAGCTCTACTGCTGTTCTCCAGGCGGCTCAGGGCCTGCCCATCCTTATGCCAGGTGATGTTGGGCTTGGGGGTGCCCTGGGCATCACAGACAAGCTCCAGGGGGGCACCAGGGGTCAGCAACAGCTCTTCAGGCCATTCTGAGTCCTTGATGTGGGGGGGATCTGCAAAATAGCCCACCCTGGGTCAGCTGTAGCAGAGGGTGTGGGGGGATGGGGTTCCACGTACCCTCCCCCATCCAGATGCTGACAGCAGGTGGGGCCCAAACCAGCAGAGTTTGGGGCGGGTGTTGGAAGGTCCTGGAAATATCAGAAACCATTAGCCCATTGTCCTGTGATAATTATTTGTGCTTTAACACCAAGAATGGTACAGCATGCAGGGAACACACAACTGACACAAATTTTTCCAATATGGCACAACACTTGCAAAACTTTGTGTTGAGTCTTAGGGCTCTGTCTTCCTCAGACTTGGTGGCTCTTATTCTTGCTTCTGCCACCAAGGTTGTCTGGTGAACAAGACAGAAAAGCACAGCCCTGGGACAGTCAAACACCCCAGCTACTCACAGCCTACAGGCAAGGCCAACAGGGTGTCCCATGAGGAAGCCAGGTGGCAGCCCCACGTTCCCAGGAGACTAAGCTCCCTCACTGCCTTTCCTATCAACCTCAGAGCCCTACCCTCTCCCTGAGCAGAGAAGACAGCCTGAGGACAGATGACCTACCCATGACGGTCAGCTGGAAATGCCTCCTGGCTTCCCCTGCCTCGCTCAGTGCCACACAGGAGTAGGTCCCTGAATCAGCTGCTTCCGTGGCCTCTAGCCGTAAGCCGGGACCCTGCTCCTGGCTCTGGGGTGACAAAGGCTCCCCATCCTTCATCCATGATACGAGGGGCAGGGGGATGCCTTGGGCCTCGCAGGGGAGGACCACTGAGGAGCCACGGACCACCACCACATCATTCTGGAACTCTGCTGGCTCCAGGACAGGGGGCACTGTGAAGAGCCAGGGTGGGCGGGGTCATTTTATTCCATGACAGGTAGCCCTCACCCCAGGCTGCTCCTATTGGCTGGAACGCCCTTTTTGGCCTGGACAATTTCTTTGCATCTCTAGGACTCAGCTTAGACCTCGCCTCCTCCAGGAAGGCTCCCTGAACCCCCAAGGCCAGGTGAGGCATCCTCCTCTGTGTTCCCACAGATCTCCCCTTTCCTGGTATCACTAGTTGCCTCTGTTTTCCTGCACCAACTGGGGGCAGGACTGCTCTGCTCCCAGCCTGTCCTGATGCCCCTGGCACACCAGAGTAAGAGCTCGAGCAACTGAATACATCAAAGACTGAATTGGGAGTTACTACACCTTGCCACCCTAGGGGCTGACCCGTGGTTCCACCAGATGGGCAGAGGGGCCAAGGGCCTAGATTCTTACCCTGAAAGGCCAAAGGAGCCCCTTGGCCCACCCCTGCTCCGTACCGTGCACCTGCAAGGTGAAGTTCCTGTCTGCCACACCAGCTGGACTTGAGGCCACGCAAGTGAAGATGCCAGCATCCGCCAGCTGCACCCGGGAAATCCTGAATCCCCAGCGGGTTGGGGTGGGTGGGTGGAGAGTGGTGCCTGCTAAGTGGAAGGACTCCCAGGATGCTTCCCTCTTCTGTCCTGTCTCCCAGCAGCTTGCTGGCCACAGGAGTGGCTCTGCTTAAACTCCCTCCCTGGCTCCCCGGTTCCCCCCGGATAAAGCCCCACTTTCCCTCTCTGACCCTCCTCTTCTGCAGCCCAACCCAGCCCGCCTCACTCCATAGCCAAACCTTCTGCCCCCTAAATTCTGGAAGTCTTGCTGCCTGGGCACATGAATGGCTTGCGTGCCCTTCAGACCATCCTCCACTCACTGACTCTGCTGCCTGTCTTTCTCTTGAACCCCCTTTCACCTGATGTCTCCTCCCCATCTCCTCCCCGCAGTTCCCCAGTGACAGTCAATCCTCAGGCTTTGTCTCCTGTGGCCCTGTTGGCCTCTCCCTCCCTGAAGCTTCTCTTCACACTCTCTCCGGATAGCCTCCTGCTGCCCCCAGTCAGCTCCCCCTCCCCGTCCCTGTGACACAGTCCACATTTGCTCAAGGGTGCGGCTGGTCCTGGTTTCCAGCACTTGCTGCCAGCCTTCGAATGTCCATTCTAACTGGAATAACCAGGTCCTCCCCTGGGACCTCTCAAACCAACATGTCAAAACAGAACTCCAGGTCTCCCCCTTAACCTATTTCTCCCACAGATCTCAGAAAATAGGAACCACAACCTTCCAGGTACCAGGGATAAAAACCTCAGAGTCAGGAGTCATGCTCAAGGCCTCTCATTCTCTCATCTCTTCACAAATACCAGTAGCTCTGCCTTTAACATCTATCCCTAATCTGACCACCTTTCACCTCCTCCACCTGCATAGCTGGGATCTCAACCTATGGTATCCCATCTGGATTATCACAAGACCCCCCAGGTGTCCTCCCCACTCTGCCCTTGGTCACCAGTCTGCTGTTCACACAGCAGCCAGAAGGACCCTCTACAAACCTAAGCTACAACTCAATAGAATTGGAAGGAGAGACTTGCACAGATGCGAATTTGTCTGTACAGCCAGCATTACAGCATTATTCACAGTAGCTAAAACATGGAAGCAACCCAAGTGTCTGAGCAGGATGAAGGGATAAATGTGTCCAAACAACGGAGTGTTACTGAGCCTTGAAAAGCAAGGAGATTCTGACACATACAACACAGTAAGAGTGAACCTTGAGGACATTATACTAAGTGAAATAAGCCAGACACAGGAGGACAAATATGACGACTCCACTTACAGGAGAACCCTGAAGTGGGCAAAGTCACAGAGACGGGATGAAGAACAGACTGCCAGAAGCTGGGCGGGGGAGTTAGTGCTTAGTGGACAGAGTTTCCATTTTACAAGGTGAAAATGTTCTAGGACGGTGGTGGTGATGTCTGTGCAACAAAACCGGACACAGAACTGGATACTTAAACATGGTTTAAAATAGTGAATTTTATGATGTGTATATTTCACTCCAGTAAAAATTTTAAGTCATGGCTCGGTGCCTGTAGCTCAGTGGCTAGGGCACCAGCCACATACATTGGAGCTGGCAGGTTCGAACCCAGCCCAGGCCTGCCAAACAACGACAACTACAACCAAAAAATAGCTGGGCATTGTGGCAAGCACCCGTAGTCCCAGCTACTTGGGAGGCTGAGGCTTAAGCCCAAGAGTTTGAGGTTGCTGTGAGCTATGACACCACAGCACTCTGGGGAGGGGGGATTAAACTCATAACAGGTGATGAACTCATCGATAGGAGGACAGAGACACTGTGTTGATTGCCATGTTTGAGGTTGCTGTGAGCTGTGACGCCACAGCACTCTACCGAGGATGACACAGTGAGACTCTGTCTCGGGGAGGAGGGGAATTAAGTCACATCATGACACTCCCCTGCTGGAAACTCCCACACTTTCCATCTTGTCTTAGGAAAACTCAAGGCTTTCCAAGGACTTTCAGGGTCCCTAACCCCTGGACTTCACCTGCCTGCCCCTACGCTGAGCTGCTCAAGGCCACCTCAGGGCCTCTGAAATTGCAGTTCCCTTTGCCCATGCTCTTCCCCATGGAATCTGCTGTCACCTCCTGCCTCTCTGCTCAAATGTTACCTGAGGTCCTATGACTGACCATGCCCCATCAGCACCCTCTACTGCCACCTCCCATCTCCTTGCCCTGTGTCCTTCCACAGAGCAAGGACATCCCTGGCGTTTCATTTATGAATCTGTTCTCCATCTGCCTCCCCAGTCCCCGGGGCTTCAGGGGCAGGGACTTCATCACACCAGGGACTGGACACTCCCCAGTGTTGTTGAAGGTACAGAGACATCGCTCAGGCACCTTCTTCCACTTTCTCACTTTCTCCACCCTGGCCAGGCTGGGTTCACCACCTGAGGGCAGAGGCCCCTTTCATCTCTGAGCCCGTGGAAGGGTGGGGGCCTCTCTCACTCTCCCCGTGTTAAACCTGTGCATGTTTATATTAGTTTTACTCCAAAACCCCTTCAGAAGTGGTTTTAGACCCAAGTGCCTGACAGTGTGCCTGGGCCTGTGATTAACTAGCTAAGGGGCTGGGCAGCCTCTCCCCTACCTGAGGGTGCGGCCAGAGCTGTGCAGGTGGGTGCGCTGGGACAGCGCAAGGGGCAAACTGTCCTTGAGCCAGCTCACGTGGATGGGTGGGGACCCCCGGGTGGGGCACGCCATGGTCACCAGCTCCCCAGGCCTGCTCACCAGAATTGTTGAGCCGTCTGCTCCCTGCTCAATGGTGGGGGGCACTGGGGTGCACAGGGAGAAAAAAAAGGGGCAGTGAGGGGATCTGGGGGGAAGGTAGGCTCCTCCCAGGGAAATTCCAGGAGATGGCACTGGACCTGGTCTTCTGCCACCAGCAACTGCTGTGGCCTCCATTCCCTGTGAAGGATGAGGCCCATGTGTCATGGCACAGCCTTACCCCAGCCCTCTTTATCTGCCTGCACCCTGGGCCAGAACACTTGAGCTTCTAGTTTGCAGAGGAGGCATGGAGGCCAAGAGGTCAGATCCGTGTGAGCATCACTGGGGCTTAAGCCCAGATCTCCTGTAGCCCGGCCACTTGTCACATGCCCTTCACATGCCCCTGTGGCAGCCCCAAGTTGGCCAGGCTGCTGCGGCCCCCACCCAGGGCTCCTCACCCAGCACGTTCACTGTGTGCAGCCTGGCATCCTCCCCAGCCGGGCTGTGGGCCACGCAGGTGTAGGCGCCAGAGTCCGAAGCCTGCAGGCCCTTAAGCACAAGGGAGCTGCCGTCCTGGTAGAACCTGCCATAGTGAAGGGAGCAGCGGTGGTCAGTGAGGGTCTGTGGGCCCTGCCACCTGTAGGGGGCATAGGCCAGGCCTTACCGGAGGTGGGAGCCCACACCCTGGTCCAGTGGGCTGCCATCCTTTAGCCAGACCACATCAGGTGGCGGCTGTCCATCAGCCTCGCAGTCCAGCCACACCTCCTGTCCCTCTAAGACATGGTGCTCCTGTGCCTCGCCTGAGCTCCGGATCCGAGGGGCCACTGCAACAGGGGCTATGTTGATGCTGGGAATGGCAGGGGCTGCCATGGGGGCAAGACATGGGAGCAGTGTGCAGACCTACCCAGCACAGACACCACAAAGTCCTTGCGGGCCTCGGCCTGGGCGTTCTCAGCCACGCATGTGTAGGTGCCAGCCTGGGCCGGCTGCAGGCGGCTCAGCTGGAGGCGGCCCCCTCTGGAGACCACGCCGTGAACCACACTGCTCTCTGTGGGGTGGAGGGGACTCTTTGAATTGCCTGCCCCATTCTTGTGCTCATAGGAAGCTGTAGGCCACAGGGCGGGGCTCCTTGTACACAACCGCCTTCCTCAGCCTGGTCTCCGGCTCCTCTGTTCTTTACAACCTTTTTTCTGTTTCCTTCCACTCGCAGCATCACTTCCCAAGGGACCTGCTCTTTTGAAAGGGTGAGTCCTCTCTTGTCCAGGACTTACCCTCAGGCCCTGCCCTCACTTCGTGCACTCTTCCTCTCTACCCTTCCTTTAATCCACCGAGTCCTCTGATCAAGCCAGACCAGCCCTCCACTGACCCTCGGTCTGCCCAGGCCTGGAGCACCTCCTCCTTCCTTCTCTCGGGGCACCAGCCCAGGCTGCCCTCCTCGCCCAGCTCTTAGCAGGCCTTTCAATGCAGATGCATGAGCAGCTGCCCTATGTCCCACCAAGCTTGGTGGTCAAAGAGAACTACGACAGTCCCTGTCCACAAGGAGTTCACAATGTATTGGAGGGGACAGTGAAGCAAGTACATTCTGGTGCTGACCACCGTGGGAGCCCCTGATGGAGCCTCCCAGCTGGGCTTTGTCATGGCCCTCTGGGCCCACCCTGCATAGTGTGTAGAGTCTCCTGGGAGCTGACTGAGAGTGTGGACACCAGGGCTCAGCCAGCCCCCACAGGAGCCAGTAACTGACGTTTGAAGTGTTGACAACCAACAACTTCCTTTGTCCATGCCCACTTTCACCCCGAGATAGGAGGGACAGGCGTACTCACCCACAGGCATTCTGTCCTTCAGCCAAGTAACTGTGGGTGCGGGAAGCCCGGACACATCACAGATCAGGACTAGAGGGCTCCCAGCCACCTGGCTCACTGTCTCCGTCTTGGGGTTCTCAAACACGGGAGGCACTGCAGGGCAGAAGCCAAATTCTCAGAACTCTGACTCTCTTGTCCTCATTTCCCTCCTCTCGGGCACAGCAGGGAGGCCCCCAAGCCCTTCCTGGTAGTTAGGAATCCACATGTTATGCTGCCAGTCATGGAGATGGGGGTTGCTCTAGTCACAGATGGAAATAGAACTAGCAGCTGTCTCAGAGCATTTGCAAACAGAGCCCTGCGGGGTCCACTCACCCCAAGGATGGCAAAGGCAAAGCTCACACCAAGCAGCCCTTAACCTACGCCAGGGCAGGCATTACTAATCCATTACTAATGCATCCACCTGGATGAAGTCACATTCCCCAAGCAGCCAGGGGAACAGAATTGACTAGGCTCAGGATGAAACATTTTGCCATCAGGGCCTAGACCCTCCCACTTTCCCTGTTCATGAAAGGGGTCACCAGAAGGATCAGCAAGTCTCTGTCATTTTCAGTCATGGTTTTCAATATGGCTCATGGTTGGATGCGTCCCCTACTCACCTGCCGGGGAAGCTACTGGATTTGCCATCCACGGCAGACAGCTGGCACCCCCACCCCCAGCCTGTTCTCAGCACTACGTGCTATAGGGTTTTAGGGGAGCACACTAAAGCTTGCTGTGGCCTGCTGTGGCCACTGTCTCAGTGCTCACTGATGGAGTCCACACAGAAGGGAGAAACACAGCTTCTACATAAAATACACACTGGCCTCCACTCTGCTCTTTCCTGCTTCCTGTGAACTGGGACAGGATGCAGTGTCCCAGTGTCATCCACAGGAATAGGGACAAGATCCCAAGAGTTGGAAGATCAATAATATGGAAGGAACCTGGGTCCCTACATCACAACATGATGTTGAGCGACTCCACAGTGAGACCCTCACCTCTGGGCCTTTGGCTGAAAGAGGTAGACTCCCTCCCACTTAGGCCACTGTACATGGGGGTCTCTGTCACACAGCTGAGTCCATATTCTAACTTAGCATGAAACAACATCTGGCTGCAAGAAAGATCTACAAGACAGCTCAGCCAGGTTCCTCCTCCTCTCCGCTCAAATGTCATCTGTGTTCTATTCTTGTGCTAATGGAACAAAGCTCCCTGAGGGATCAGGATGGAGGTGAAGTGGTCTCTGTGTATCTGATCTCTCTGGCCCCCTTCACACCAGTGCCCTCATGCCAGGCCCTTTGCCCAACTCTTTCTTGACACTGCAATGGCCATCCTTGTGCTTGGGTACTTCAAAGTGCCCAGTGGGAAGTTCCTGCTTTTAGCCTCTTTGCCACAGATAAGTCTGAGGCTCCGAGGGACATGGTCACTCTGCTAAGCCTATCAGGCAGGTTATGGGCAGAATCCTATTTGGGTGCTGCTAATCCTGCCTTTCAAATTCCAGATCTTCTGCCCATAATACTGGGCAATACTACCTCTTTCCAGCCACTGCCCTCCTCCTCCAGGGCAATCCTGTGTGCTGCCAGGGCACCTATAGCCATGCTGGCCAGGCTGCTCCCCCACTTACCCTGGATGGTGAGGATGAAAGTCCGCACAGCCTCCCCAGCTACATTGCTGACGCTACAACTGTACAAACCTTTATCCGACACCTGGGATAGGAAGAGGACATGGTGACAGGGTGCACAGAGCTGGGGTGGGGTGCTAGGACTCCCCCAAAACATGGGGAGGGGAGAGGATGGAGTCAGGCCAGGAGAGAGGAGCCCAGAATGAGTTTCTGGAGAAGCAGCAAATATTCATCCAACAAATGCTTGTGAGCATCTTACCCACACCTCACCCACACCAGGGAGGGAGGGACAGAATCCCAAGAGTCACAGATAGTCAGTCAGAGGGCCTGGAAAAGGCTTCTAGATCCTGGGGAAACTGAAGTAGGCAGTGGGGATGGCCCCAGCTGAGAGTCATCCTTGACTTTGACCTTGAGTGCAGAGTTGGATCTGGAACCTGACTCCAGAGCTCAATGCTCATCCCATGTCTCCCACCTTGGAAGCTGTTAATCAACTCAGTTTGGGATCCCACAGGCCAAGGAGTCAGCCCCCACACTCAGCCACATGCCTGCCCCCCTCCCTCCACTGATGATTGCCCCTGACACTCACATGCCAACCCCCTGCCTCCAGCGACTCACCTGGGTTTCTAGAATCTCCAGCCTCTGTCCACCCTGGAGAGCCTGAGTCCGCTGAACTAAGACCAGAGGCTGCCCATCCTTGTACCAGGTGACAGCTGGCTCAGGGAGCGAGTCTGTCTCACAGCTCAGGACAGCCTTGTCCCCGGCCCGCACCACGATTGCATCCTGGAGGCTGTTGCGGGCCTGCCTAAAGGTGGGGGGAACTGAGGGCCAAGACAGCAGAGTGAGGCACAGTGGCTGTCCCCATGTTCTCCCTGGCTCGGCCACAGGTAAGCCTATGGAGGCCCACAAATGTCACACAGTGGACCGGCCCCAGGGGAGCTAGAGGAAGACAGTCGGGCCAGCAGGTCAAGGACCCGCTGTGTACCCAGGCACAGCCTCCTGCCTCTCTGGGCCTTGGCCCCTAGACAGAGAGATGTGATGGCCCTCCCAGTGGTTGGGCCCTGGTGAGTCCTTCCCAGGCCGGGCTCTGTACCCCCACAGAGCTGACCACAGCAGCTGTCCTGCCTCCCCCAGTGCCAGTTGCCCTGCTCCTGGCCACGCTGCCCAAGGAAGTGATGGGGTGGGGGCACAGTCAGACAGTCACATACCCAGCACACTCAGCTGTACCAGCTTCTGGTCTCGGCCGGCAGCGTTGAGGGCCTCGCATGTGTATGTCCCGGAGTCTGATGGCTGTGCTCGCGCCAGGTGCAAAGTGTGGGTGCCTGCCAGGAGCAGGTGGAGCCAGCCCCTCACACCAGCAACCTGGCCCAACTCCCAGGGCCACTCCCCAGCTCTGAATCCCTCCCAGACCCCAGCCTTGTCCCAGGGTTGAGGAAGCAACTCAGTCCCCACATAACCTCAAGGCCAGGCCTGCTGACTCATTTACCCACCAGGGAGGAGGAAGGCCTCTTCACCCAAGAAGAGGGCCCGGCTGTCCTTGTACCATGTGACCTCAGGGCTTGGGTGAGCATGGACATCACAACGGAGGGAGACGCTGCTATTGAGGATGGCAGTGACCTTCTCCGAGTTCAGGCCTGCGATTCGTGGTGGGACTGTCCCCACAGCCACCATGATAAAGACAGAAAGGAGAACGCAGAGAGCCAGAGTGAGACAATGAGATCCAGCTCCTCTTGCATCTTCAAATGACCCTGTGCAGAAACCTTATAACTATCTTACTCTGGAGAATGCTGGGGCTCAGAGATCAGAGAGGGAGAGTCACTGTTCCCAGGCCACACAGCTGCTCGGTGGCAGAGTCCAAATATTAATTCAGGTTTGAGTCCATGAGGTGAGTGCTCAACACTGCCTCTGTCCCTAAGGCCACAGCTAGTGATCAGGGTCCCTCAAACACTCCCTTCCCAGGGTGTGGCTGATGCTAGGCTGGAACCCCTGAACTCTGAGCATGGGTTCCGGAGCTCCGGATACTGGAAGCACCAAGGTGGCAGCTCTCAGGAAGGGACAAGGAGCCCTTAGGGGTGCCTGCTCAGCCCTGCTCACCTTGGACTCTGAGAGTAAAGAGCTTCTCCGCAGAGCCCGCCTGGTTCTCAGCCACACACATGTAGCTGGCGGCATCAGCCGCTTCTGCGGTGGAAACCTATGAGTGCAGGAAACTGGTGCCTGGGAGAGGCCAGAGGCCCCCTGGACCCTGCCATCCCTGGGAGCTGCTGTGAGGCTTCCCTCCCTCCTTCCCACCCCACACCAGACACATGGGCCCCAGGGGCTCGTGGGGGTGAGGAGGGCACACGTCTGTCTGTGGCTTTGTGTGACATTGGGGGGTTGAGGTTGCATTTGGGTGGTCCTCTACAGCAAACTTCATATGGGAACAATCTCCCTCAACCCCTGTGGAGCACTGTTCTGTGTCTGGACACAAAGGCCGAGGTGCTGTCCAGTGTCCTGAGTCCAGGTGTGGCACACACATCCTTTTCCTGGGGGCACCTGAACTGGTGGGTACTGTGTGCCACCCTGTGCTTGCCCAGTGAAGCTCCGTGTGGGAGAGTCTTTGGTGGGGTGAATTAAGCCCAGGGGCTCAGCGTGGCTGCAGGCACAAAGCCTCAAGTGGCATAGACAATGACTGCTCCTCGGTTCCCAGACAAGCAGTGTGGGTAGAAGAGTCTCAGCCCGTGCAGGGGGCTGCCCTGACCTGCAAGACCTGCCCGTCCTCCAGGACCTGCAGCCGTGGGCTTGGGGAGAAAGGCAGCCCATTCTGGAGCCACGAGATGGTGGGCATAGGGTTACCCAGGGCCGGGCACTCCAGGCTGATGGTGCTGCTGGCATTGACTGTCACCTCTTCCACCAGTTCCTCTGTGTCGCCTAGGATCACAGGTGGGGCTGGGGGTGGGGAGAGAAGGCTGAGAGGCCGTCAGAGGTCCCTGGGGAGGGGGGTGGGCACGGAGGCGAGAGGGGCATTTGGTGCCTGGCACTGGCTGGCTCCTTGTGTCCTGCTCACTAGATCCTCCCAGGCCCTGACACAGCTAGGGAATCTGGGGCACAGAGAGGGCTGTGACTTGCTCAACATCACACAGCTAGGAAACTTCTAACTTGGAATTCGAATCCACTTCTCCCAGTTCAGAGCCCAGGCCTGTAACCCCATTAGAAGGCACTCCACCTCAACAGCCCCCAGAGGGAGGTGCTCAGGAGCCTGCACCCTGGGCTCACCCACACCCCAGCCCCCAGGCCACTCACTCAGCACGAACAGTTCGTAGTGCAGCCAGTCCTCGCCCACCTCATTGGAGGCCTTGCAAGAGTACCTCCCAGCATCCTCTGCCCGCACTAGGGGGAGCTGCAGGACCCGGCCTCCTGCAGAGACAGGGGACAGAGCCCTGAGCTCAGGTCCAAGAGGTACGTTTGAGAGCAAGGACACATTCTTATAGTCTTCCCTCTGGAGGGGACTTGGGCCATGTTCCTGCCCCCTGTTTCATCTGTGGGGTGGAGAGAGTCAGCCTGCCCTGCTCAGCTCATGGGACAGGGGCAGAATCAGGGCAGCACATAAGGACAGCTTGCTGCATGGCAGACCCGATGCTCCCAGCTTATCCCATGATGACCCAGCAGGGCATGTGCTATTGTTACTCCCATCTTACAGATGGGAAAACGGAGGCTTTGCAGCTGTGCCCAGCAAGAGAGCAGTAGTTGCTGGCCAGGTCTGTGCCAAGTTGAGCCCAATTGTTTGGTCAGAGCAAAAAGGCAGAGGCAGAGAACTAGGCAAAATGTTTCAGGAGAGGCCGGGGAGGGGGGAGCTCCTGGGTCTCTGGTAGCTGGTGTGGGGTTGGAGAGGGACCACTTGGGACCCTCTATGATCAGAAGCCAGCCAGGGCCAGAAGCTGGCCACTCTGGGGGGCTGGATTTGGTCTTTGGGGGCCTATATTAGGGTCTCTGTGTGCTCAGGATTCTGGGCTGGGGAGGGCTTGTCCAGCCTGTGGGTGGTGTGGCCAGGGTCACATCAGGGGCTCACCATCTTCAAAGCTCAGGGAAGATGGGCTTCCAGGGAACTGTGGCCATGGCAGGAGGCCAGTTGATGTTTGGGGTTAATCTATGGTGTGAGTCAGAATTCAAGTCAGCTTGTGACCACAATAAGGTGTACTCAAGATTAGGAGTCAGTGGTCAGGGCCAGAGGTCAGTGGTGGGGTTTGAGGTCAGTGGCTAGGCCTGGGTTCAGTCGATAGTTGGGATCAGGGTCTGAGCACCAGGTGAGGCTCACTATGCTCCCAGGGTTTGGGGTCAGTATCAGAGGTCAGTAGCCAGGTTAAGGGTCAGTCAAGGGATTTCTACCAGGAACAATAGTCTTCAGGAAGCACTGCTTTTCCTGGACGTCTGGAGCCTCCTTCTTTGTAAGCACGGAAGTACAAACCCTGGTATAACTCTGCCTATGGGAGGGACTGAGCAAATTGACCACTTCTCTCAGCAGCCAGCCCCACTGCTGCCCAAACGGGACAGGACACGATGTGACTCCTAAGCCCAGTGATATGGGTCTACCTCCCAAGACTCAGCTGAGGGAATTGGGTGAGCTGGCCAGGGACGCCAGGCATTCCTAAGCCCCACCTCTGGAGCCCTTTAATTTAAAACCACCCAGAAAAATATACTCTAAAATAAAAAGTTAACTTAAAAAATTAAATAACCGGGGGTGGCACCTGTGGCTCAAGGGAGTAGGGCACTGGCCCCATATGCCAGAGGTGGCGGGTTCAGACCCAGCC